TGCTGCTGCTGCTGCTGCTGCTATGGATAGTCTTGCTAGTGTTCCCGATGTTCACAATGCTTCTTGGCCTCCTACTCGGCGACCCTGGTGATGACGAATTCTTGCTGCTTTTATTTCTCCCACACCTCGTGTTTCTGTTTCTGTTCTGGACCGAGGAACGATGCACGCGGCACGAGTGTAGTAGAGATTAGTTCTGGGTCGTGCAATGCATATGGACACGCACACGCACATGTACATGCCCAGACACATATACATACACTTACGTATACATATATTAATGCATATATATATATATGTGTGTATACACACAAATAAAACCGGTGTATGTTCACGGAGGACGGACGAGCCAGCGTATTCTACAACATTCATATACTCACGTGCACAGCTGCATGAATCGCCTCACGACAGACCCAAACATAAGACACGTGCTCGTGTTGGAACGGCGAGGCTGGTGCAGGCTGGAGAGGGCTGCCCGAGAGCTGAGCTTGCATCCGGATTCCATCGCCACCATCGAAATCCACAGCGCCACACACCAGGTCTTGTCGAACACCTTTGATTGGGTTCGGTGCCCCGTGGGCGAGGGGAGCTTCAGCGAGGAGACAGACCGTGAGCGTGTAGGTGAAGTGTTGTGTGATATGATCAAAGCAAAGTTGCAGCATTACCTCGACGAAGAAGATCTGCACAACTATCGCTTGTTGCTGAACACACAGGCGGTTCACTTCAGGAACCTGTCAGTGAGGAGTGTCGAGAGCCTTCTGCCACACACCTGCTCGGACGAGCAGGACCCGGCAAGCTTTGCTCTCGGACAGTTCCTGGAGCAGAATGGATTTGCCAATGCAGTAGAGCGAAACGATGTCGGGTGGACGCCATTGTGCTATGCAGCCCTTGCAGGTGATCCTCTAGTCTTGGCAGCGTTGCTTCAGCAGCGAGCAAACGTCAATGATGGTATCGGCCGTCAAGATCCCATCTTGCAGTTTGCCGCAGGCACTTCTGTGCTTGACATTTGCGTGTGTTTGCACCACAACAACGCGGCGCGCATGCTCATCGACTTTTCTGCAGATGTTCAGCAGAAGGATGGCCTTCGAGCAACGGCGGCTCACTGGGCCTGCGTTGGCAACAATGTCGAAGGCAGGCCAGTTAGCTGTGGGATTCGGGGATATTGAGGGGTCTGGTAAGGGTTTAGGGCGCATCTTGTGAGGAAGCGAATGTGTCAGAGTGTAGCTGACTCTTCTTCAACATGTTCTTTCTTTTTGCATACCCCAGAATCTTGATCTAATTATTAAGGCTTCTACACTAACCCCTTAGAATATCCGTTATAGTACCCTTGTAGAACCCTTTATAGATCCCTTCGAAGGACCCCTATTCTTGCTACTTATTACGGGCCTACATAATATACCAGGGCTGCAGCTCTTGCGGATAGCGGGCTGCAGCCTCGGGGACCGCGCGCTCTTCGGCGAGCTCCCGTTCGGCCTTGCCTGTGCCATGGGCAGCGTGAGATGCATCAAGGACCGAAGGGATTTACGAACCGCAGATCCGAAATTCGAAGCCTTCCTAATCTTTCGACAGATCGACAGAACCCTGGATGCCTCCTGCCCCGAACATGGCAGATTTTGTATGGACAGCGCAGGGTTTCGCCTGTCAGCAGTAGTCCTCAAAGCAAGGCAGCTGCAGGAGGGTTTGGGTGCGCATGGACGCAAGTGGCCATGCTTCCGAAAGCAGACTCCTTATTCAAAAACTATCACCGCAACGAGGCTCCCTAGTAGAATCCCGGGGCCGTACAGGAGTCACCCATGGAACTCTGGCACCCTTTATGGGACCCTCAGAGTCCTCAGAGGAACCCCTAAAGGAACCCGCTGTGCTTGGTTTCAGGAGCTCCTTCCCGTCACGGATCGGCAGGAGCGGAAGAAACGAGCGGCCGGCGCTTCAGGGATGTAGAGCTGATAAATGCATGCAGCAGATAGACACCCAGGTTTACAAGACATACATACATACATATATATATATACACACATACATATACATATACATATACATATACATATACATATACATATACATATGCATACACATATACATATACATACACTTACACATACACATACACATACACATACACATACACATACACATACACATAACACATACATACATACATACATACATACATACATACATATATACATACATACACATACACATACACATACACATAGACATACACATACACATACACATACACATACAC